GGGGGGTCTTTGGAGAGGTGTGGGGTGAAGAGGAGGAGATGGGGATAGGTTGGAGGTCCTGATTGTCCCGTTATTCCTTCTGTCTCCTGTGCTGAGTTTGTGGGGTCTCGCAGGAAGGGGGGACCCCAGACATGGCCAGGGCTGCCTGGCTGGGGCTGGGGCTGGAGTTTGGGGTCCCAGGGAGGGCCCTGGGGGGCTGACCCTGCTCTTGTGCCCCCAGATATCGCCGTGGGGGCTCCTTTCGAGGGGCCTGGCAAGGTCTACATCTACCACAGCAGCGCCCAGGGGCTGCGGGACCGACCCCGGCAGGTAACGGCCCCGGGGAGCCCCGAGCCAGGGCCTGGACCCCTCCCCAGGATCCGGCCTTTGGACACCCCCCGAGACCCCCACTCCAAGGCACTGGGTGAGACCCCCACTCCAGGGTACTGGGTGAGACCCCCCTGCCCCCCAAATGCAGGTGATCAGCGGGGCAGAGCTGGGCCCCACCAAGATAAAAACCTTCGGGTACTCGCTGAGCGGGGGGCTGGACATGGACGGGAATTCCTACCCGGACCTGCTGGTGGGCAGCCTGAGCGAGAGAGTCGTGCTGCTCAGGTACAGCCATGGGGACAGGGGACAGGTGTCCTGCCACCGCTGCCACCCTTGGGGTGGGCACGGAGCAGGGGGGCTCAGCCCAGCCCAATTCCTGCCCAGAGCCCGGCCCGTGATCAACATCCTGGACAAGACCTTCACGGTGACCCCCAGCAAGGTGGACCCTGCCCAGTGCACGCCCAAATCCTGGTGAGTCCCAGGTGTCCCCAGTGTCCCCGTGGCTGCTGGTGGCACCCCTGGCTCGGCTCACAGCCCCTTTGTCCCCCCAGCATGACGGTGACCCTGTGCTTCTCCTACAACCAGAGCGCGGGGGACCCCAACTACAGCGAGAGGATCAGTGAGTGGGGGGTGCTGGGGGGACATGGGGACACGTTGTGGGGGGTGTTGGACAACTGGTGCTGTCCCCCAGCCCTGCAGTACACGCTGGAGGCCGACAAGGACCGGCACCCGCCCAGGGTCAGGTTCTCGGGGTCCCAGTCTGCCACCTACACCGGGGACTTCTCCATGCCCGACACCCGCTGCCAGTCCCAGGAGCTCCTGCTGCTGGTGAGTGTCCTTCCCTCCATCTTCCATCCATACATCCCTCCTTTCGTCCCTCCTTCCCTCCATCCATCCCTCCATCCATCCATCCATCATCCATCCATCATCCATCCATCCATCCATCCATCCATCCATCCATCCATCCATCATCCATCATCCATCCATATCACTCTCTGGGGTCTCTCACTGGGCTGGCAGCAGCAGAGGGGGACCCCAGCCGTGGCTGGAGCTGCCTTTGGGTCCAGGCAGGATCTGTGTGTGGTTCCCACCCCGCAGGACAACGTCCGGGACAAGCTGCACCCCATCGTGCTCTCCATGAACTACTCCCTGCTGGAGAGGCCCAGAACCTTCCAGCTGGGCCCCCACTCCCTGGACGCCTTCCCCGTCCTCAACCAGGACCAGTCCCACGAGAACGAGACCAAGGTGAGCCGGGCGGGGGGACACGCTGGGGTGCCCCGGGGGTGGCAGTGACTCAGGGGACATCCCTGTCCCTGCAGATCGAGTTCCAGAAGGAATGTGGCTCCGACAACCAGTGCTACAGCAACCTCCAGCTGCGGAGCAGCTTCGTCACCGAGCAGAACCAGCCGCTGCCCAGGTGACAGCAGGGCCCTGCGTGTCCCCTCATCCCCCCGGGGGTGTCCCTGTGCCACGGGATGTCCCTGTGCCATGGGATGTCCCTGTGCCACTCTGTGTCCCTGTGCCACGGGGTGTCCCTGTGCCATGTTGTGTCCCTGTGCCACGGGGTGTCCCTGTGCCATGGGATGTCCCTGTGCCACCATGTGTCCCTGTGCCATGGGGTGTCCCTGTGCCACATTGTGTCCCTGTGCCATGGGATGTCCCTGTACCACCCTGTGTCCCTGTGCCATGGGGTGTCCCTATACCACGATGTGTCCCTGTGCCACTGGAGCCCCTGTGCCATGTTGTGTCCCTGTGCCACGGGGGGTCCCTGTGCCATGGGATGTCCCTGTACTACCCTGTGTCCCTGTGCCATGGGGTGTCCCTATACCACGATGTGTCCCTGTGCCACTGGAGCCCCTGTGCCATGTTGTGTCCCTGTGCCACGGGGGGTCCCTGTGCCATGGGATGTCCCTGTACTACCCTGTGTCCCTGTGCCATGGGGTGTCCCTATACCACGATGTGTCCCTGTGCCACTGGAGCCCCTGTGCCACGTTGTGTCCCTGTGCCATGATGTGTCCCTGTGCCAAGGGGTGTCCCTGTACCACGGGATGTCCCTGTACCACGGGATGTCCCTGTACCACGTTGTGTCCCTGTGCCACGGTGTGTCCCTGTGCCACGGCTGACCCCGCTGTGCGCGCAGGGTGAACGGCACGCAGGTGCTGCAGTACAGCCGGGACGTGCGCAAGCTGCACCTGAGCATCAACATCACCAACGTCCCCACGGCGCCCTGGAACGGCGAGGACGCCCACGAGGCCCTGCTGAACGTCACCGTGCCCCCCAGCCTGCTGCCCTCCTCCGTCCGCCCGGTACGGGGGGCACCCGGGGCCCCGAGTCCCACCGGGAGCAGCTGGGCTCGGCCAGGAGGATCCTGACCCTCTTGTCCTCCCCAGAGCGGAGCCTGCACCTTCGGGGACACGGTGCTGTGCGAGCTGGGGAACCCTTTCAAGAGGAACCAGAGGGTGAGAGCTGCCCCCCAGCTGTCCCCCAGCTGCCCCCAGCTGCCCCCAGCTGCCCCCCAGCTGCCCCCCGGCCCTTCCTGGGGGGCTCAGCAGGGCTGAGCTGCTCCCTGTGCCCCCGTGTGCAGGCTGAGCTGACCATCACCTTCGAAGCCATCGGGATCATGCTGGACACGCGGGAGGTGGCGGTGTGGCTGGACCTGTCCACGTGAGTGGGAGGGGCGGGACGGGGGCGGGGATGGTCCCGGTGGGACCGGGGAGGTGCCGATCCCGGTGCCCCATCCCGGTGTCCCGGCAGGCAGAGCACCCAGGAGGATCTGCAGCCCGTGCTGGCCAAGCTGCTGGTGGATTACAGCATCCAGTCCTCGCTGAGCATGTGAGAGTCCCCTGCACCCCCTCTGTGTCCCCTGGACCCCTCTGTGTCCCCTGCACCCCCTCTGTGTCCCCTGCACCCCCTCTGTGTCCCCTGCACCCCTCTGTGTCCCCTCCACCCTCTCTGTGTCCCCTGGACCCCCTCTGTGTCCTCTCCACCCTCTTTGTGTCCCCTGCACCCTCTCTGTGTCCTCTCCACCCTCTCTGTGTCCCCTCCACCTCTCTGTGTCCCCTGCATCCCTCTGTGTCCCCTCCACTCTCTCTGTGTCCCCTGGACCCCTCTGTGTCCTCTCCACCCCCTCTCTGTCCCCTGCATCCCTCTGTGTCCCCTCTACTCTATCTCTGTCCCCTGGACCCCCCTGTGTCCCCTCCATCCACCCGAGTCTGGCTGTGCCAGCCCTCCGTGTCCCAGGACTGGGCAGCAGTGGGATGTCCCCTGTGCCCCTGACCACTCTCTCTGTGTCCCCTGGACCCCTCTGTGTCCCCTCCATCCCCCCACCCGAGTCTGGCTGTGCCAGCCCTCCGTGTCCCAGGACTGGGCAGCAGTGGGATGTCCCCTGTGCCCCTGACACCGTTCCCGTTCCCAGAGCCTCCTCCCACATCCAGTCCTACTTCAGCGGGACCGTGGTGGGCGAGTCGGCCATGAAACAGGAGCAGGACGTGGGCAGCCCCCTCACCTTCGACTTCCAGGTGAGCTGGGCGTGGCCGGCGCCGGGGGGAGGCGGATTTGGGAACGGGGGAGGAAGGCGGATTTGGGAACGGGGGAGGGAGGCGGATTTGGGAACGGGGGAGGGAGGCGGATTTGGGAACGGGGGAGGGAGGTGGATTTGGGAATGCGGGAGGAAGGCGGATTTGGGAACGGGAAAGGAAGCGGATTTGGGAATGCGGGAGGAAGGAGGATTTGGGAACGGGGGAGGAAGCGGATTTGGGACTGTGTCCCCATCATCCCTGTCCTCATCATCTATGTCCTTGTCGTCCATATCCCCATCATCCATGTCCTTGTCATCCGTGTCCTCATCATGTGTCCCCATCATCCATGTCCCCCATGTCCTCATCATCCGTGTCCCCATCATCCATGTCCTCATCATTCATGTCCCCATCATCCATGTCCTTGTCGTCCATGTCCCCATCATCCATGTCCCCATCATCTGTGTCCCCATCATCCATGTCCTTGTCGTCCATGTCCCCATCATCCATGTCCCCCATGTCCCCATCATCCATGTCCCCATCATCTGTGTCCCCATCATCCATGTCCTTGTCGTCCGTGTCCCCATCATCCATGTCCTTGTCATCCATGTCCCCATCATCCATGTCCCCATCATCCGTGTCCCCATCATCCGTGTCCCCATCATCATCCACGTGCCGTGCTCTGTGCGTGCCGTGCCGTCCCTGTCCCTCAGCCGTGTCCCCCTGTCCCCAGGAGTTCCGGGACTTTGACCGTGTGAAGGTGGCGGGCACGGCCACACTGTTCCTGCGCTCGCAGGTGCCCACCATCAGCATGAGGAACCACACGGTGCGGGTGAGCCGGACTGGGCCGGACTGGGACAGACTGGGCCGGACTGGAACAGACTGGGCAGGACTGGGCCGGACTGGGCGGGACTGGGACAGACTGGGCCGGACTGGAACAGACTGGGCAGGACTGGGACAGACTGGGAGGGACTGGCATAGACTGGGTGGGAGTGGGGCAGACTGGGCGGGACTGGGCCGGACTGGGCCGGACTGGGCGGGACTGGGACAGACTGGGCCGGACTGGGCCGGACTGGGACAGACTGGGCGGGAGTGGGGCACACTGGGACGGACTGGGATAGACTGGGTGGGAGTGGGGCAGACTGGGCGGGACTGGGCCGGACTGGGCGGGACTGGGCCGGACTGGGCGAGACTGGGACAGACTGGGCCGGACTGGGACAGACTGGGCCGGACTGGGCCGCTGGAGCCCCGAGCCCCAGCGAGGCCCTTCCCACCCCCCCAGTTCTCCGTGGACGTGGACTCGGAGCTGCAGGAGGAGCAGCCGGCCGAGATCGCGCTCTGGCTGGTGCTGGTGTCGGTGGCAGCGGGGCTGCTGCTGCTGGGGCTCATCATCCTCCTCCTCTGGAAGGTGAGGGGGGTCCCAAATCCCCTTCCCGGGGAGGAGGGGGTGCAGGAGCCACGCTGGGACCCGACGGGCTCGTGTCACCCGTGGCCACCTCCTCCCTGCCCGGCGAGGGGTGCAAGGGACTGGAAGATTGTCCCCTCAGCTGGAAGGTGTCCCCCGCGGGTGGCAGGTGTCCCCAAGTGGGAGGTGCCCTCCCGGGAGGAAGATTCCTGGCTGGAGAGGCATGAGGAAGAGGAGCAGAGGCATTCCCAACGTGTCTTGGGGTGCAAAACACTTTGGGGCATGCACCCAAAGCGGGGCTGGACCTCCTTCCCTGTGGCTGCGCTGCAGGGACCCCCAGACCCCCCTGGGTGCACCCCCAGCTGCTTGAAGCCCCCTCTTTTACCCAGGAGGGGTCGCTGGGTCTGCAGGACCCCCCCACCCCACAGCATCCCTGTGGGGCATCTCCCTGCCCCGCTCCCCCCACCTGCCGGGGGGGTACCCAGGACCCCCCCCCAGCCCAGGTCTGCAGGACCCCCCCACCCCACAGCATCCCTGTGGGGCATCTCCCTGCCCCGCTCCCCCCACCTGCCGGGGGGGTACCCAGGACCCCCCCCGCAGCCCCTGTCCCACCCCCCTGACCCTGTCCCCTTCCCTGCAGTGCGGGTTCTTCCGGCGGGCCAACACCCGGGCCATGTACGAGGCCAAGGGGCAGAAGGCGGAGATGAGGATCCAGCCGTCGGAAACCGAGCGGCTCACGGACGACTACTAACGGGGGGCACTCCCCGTGCCCCCCCGGGCGCCGCCTGGTAATGCCCCGTGGGGCCGGGCTGCAGCGGCATCTTCCTCCTCTTCAGCCTCCTCTCCTCTTCCTCTGTCCCGCAGGGTCCCTGCGGGCTCCGCGGGCTCTCCAGGATCGCCGCTCCCTTTGCTCTGCTCTTCGCCGCCTCGGGGGTCTCTCTCCCTCTGCCGACCCCTCTCCGGCCCCTCACTGACGCCGTGTCCCCTCTCTGTCCCCCTCGCAGTGTGACTTTTTCCAGCGGACCCGCTATTACCGGATCATGCCCAAGTACCACGCGGTGCGGATCCGGCAGGAGCAGCGCTACCAGCCCGGGGGGCTCCTGCCCCGCCGCCGCCGCAAGAAGCTCTGGGTGACCAAGTGGCAGGAGCCGGACAAGTACTACTGACCCCCAGCCCCCCGCCCGGGCCCCTGCCAGGGGGGCTCTGACTTTGCACAAGCGCATCTCCCCCTGCCCCTGCCCCTTCCCCTTTCCCTCGGACGCGGCCGCCGCCGGCCTTGGCTCCCGCAGCCCCTCCCGGTTTGCCCGGGGGGCTCCCGCAGCCCCTCCCGCCCCTCCCGGGGGGCTCCCGCAGCCCCTCCCGGTTCTCCCGGGGGCCTCCCGCAGCTCCTCCCGGTTCGCCCGGGGGGCTCCCGCAGCCCCTCCCGGTTCTCCCAGGGGGCTCCCGCAGCCCTTCCCGGTTTGCCCGGGGGGCTCCCGCAGCCCCTTCCGGTTCTCCCGGGGGGCTCCCGCAGCCCCTCCCGGTTCTCCCGGGGGGTTCCCGCAGCTCCTCCCGGCTTGCCCGGGGGGCTCCTGCAGACCCTCCCGCCCCTCCCGGGGGGCTCCCGCAGCCCCTCCCGGTTCTCCCAGGGGGCTCCCGCAGCCCTTCCCGGTTCTCCCGGGGCCTCCCGCAGCTCCTCCCGGTTCTCCCGGGGGGCTCCCGCAGCCTCTCCCCGCCCCCCCCGGGGGGCTCTTGCACGCTCGTGCCTTGCACGCTTGTGGGGGCAACCCCCCAAATGTGCCCCCCCGCTCCCCGAAGTGCTGCTGGCCTCACCGAGTGCCTTCCTCCCGCTCCGCAGACACTCCGCTCGCCGCCTCCCTGTCCCTTGTCCCTTGTCCCTTGTCCCCAGCCTCCCTGGGACACGGCCCGGCCCCTGGGGACACGTCCCCGCAGGCCGGGACACGCTCGCCCCCCTCCCCTCGGCAATGGGTGCGGGACCCCTCTGCTTTCCCCGGGGGGAGCTCGTTCCCTCCTGCACCCCCTCCTCACCCCAAACCCCGCGGGGGTCTCCCCCTCCAAACCCCACGGGGGTCTCCCCTGCTGACCTCAGACCCCACGGGGGTCTCCCCTGCAGACCCCAGACCCCTCCTGCTGTTCTCGCAGCTTTGCCTTGGGGGGTGCAGCCGTGTCCCCCCCATCCCCGCCCCTCGCCCCCCGGCCCCGGGGGTCCCTGTCCCGCC